TCTTCACAAAAATGAAACCTTTAACCTTTGAGAGATGTAGGAGATCTGAAGGTGTCAAAGAACCTTCAAGATGCAGAAGAAGATAAAATAAAAAAAATTTATTGGTTAAAAATTTTTATATAGATATAACTATTAAAATAAAAATTTTTTATAATATTTAAATAAAATATCTCAATAACAACTTGACCAAATTTAATAAAATTTTTTTATTTAAATTTTAAATCTTCAAAAATCTGAATAAAAAAATTTTTATTGAGTTTGATTAGGTGATTGTCAAGATATCTTCATATAAATTTTTAGAAAATTTGATATAACTTTTATTTTAAGATATTTAGTTTTTTTTATAGCTTTGAGTAAAAATATCTCAACAACCATTTAACTAAATTCAACAAAAAATCTCTTATTTGAATTCTATAGACTCATAGAATCTAAATTAAAATTTTATCAAATTTGATCAAGTGGTTGTCAAAATATCTTCACTCAAAATTTTAAAAAAAAATTTAAAAAGTCTTAAAATAAAAGCTATGCCAATTTTCTAAATATTTGAACAAAGATAGCTTGATATTTATTTAATCAAATTTGATAAAAAATTTTTATTTAAATTCTATAAATTTATTGCCTTCTTTAGATAATGTTTTTTTTCCACGAAAATTAAAACAAATACGAGTTTACAACAAAGAATAATGTTGGTTAGCTGTTTTCCAATTACAACACAGGATAATCTTCCATAATCCTTAAATATTCATGTGATTTAAGTTGATAAATGAGATTTAATCAAATATTTTGTGGCTCACATTAACCAGTTAATTAACTTTAACGGCTTTATAAAATTAAATATAGTTTGAATTTAATTAGACTGTATAATACCCAATAATTAGGGTCATAAAGTCACCGATTTATATAATTAGCTATATATCGAAAATTCTTAAAACGCATATTATTTTATTAACTGGACCATTGAGACTTTATGCATTTTAGGTCTTAGTGTAATGTGATTCCCTGGAAGCCTTCAGGCTACACGTCAATTTCACACATCTTAACGCGTAAACACTACTACTGTATTATAAACAGAGTCAATTTTGATTTTATTGTCTGATTACCGGGAATTTGATTGGCTAAAGTCGAAGATCAACTTCACGTAACTTCTGAACTTTATGTATTTATCACTTATATGGCTGGTAGTAATAGAACATAATTTTGTAATTATAGTTTCAATGTAAGAATTGTGACTTAATAAACCTTTAAAATGTTGAACCGAAACATATTTTAGATATTCTCAAGTACCTTAACTACTGAACTAGTAAATAAATATATATATATATATATAATTAGTGTTGGCAAATAGAACAATAGAACAAAAACTTAATTTTTTGTCTTTATATAAAAAAATTTTGGTTTATTAATAATTTGCAATTATTTAACATATATTGTTAGAGCATTAGTAAAGTAATAAATTTAAAATATTTTTATATTTAATTAGTAAAATTTAATACTCAAAATTTACAATAGAAAAATAAAATTATACGCCAATAGAAAAAACATATAAACGTGACAACCCTAGTTATAATGTTTACCGTGCAATATTTGTAAAACCATATTTGTCATGATACAATATTATATTGTCGGCTAGATACATAGTAAAAAATTATTATTGAAGATTTTTTTTAATCGATTTGCGAAATTTTCAAATTATATTAAATCATTAATAAAAAATGCCTTCGCGCAAACTTTAATAATTTCTGTTAAATTAATTCTTTTTTAATTCTGCGAGTTGATATTTATTCTTTAAGAGTGTGTCTCTATTAAGTAATAACCGCGTAGTTTAACTATTGATTTATATTACGTCAACTAGTGCTTATTAAATAACAAAAAAATCTTCGCTTAATATTTTGATTATATACTATATACTGTACTATTACCAAAAGCATTTAAGCATTACATCACACAAATATCAATGAATAGAGTTGTTAAATACTTTTGTTATAGTATTATCTTATAATTTCTATATATATACATTATATAATAATAAAAATATTAATATATTTAAAATATTCGGTTACTGCTTAATAGAGGCACTCTTAAAGAATAAAATCAACTTGCGAAATTAAAAAACAATTAATATAGCAGAAGTTATTAAAGTTTGCGCAAAGACATTTTTTATTAATAATTTATTATAAATCGAGAATTTTAAAATCAATTTCAAAAAAATTTTTACTAAATGATTTTTAAGTTTGTGATTAAACCGATTAGTGACACCCCAATAATTTTTGGTATGTCTTTAACTAGTAATAGACAAATTATATACAATTAATTTTAATAAACATTATAAAATTTTGATTTTATGCGAATCTTTTATTATCTTGATGGCGACTTCTTTATTTGTTTCATATAATGTTTTATATACTATGGAAAATCCTTCTTTATTTACTTCAATATATATATTGTATTATTATAAATTTATAATATTTAGCTCCAGACACCAATACTGCGCATTAACCTAGTTAAATAATATTTGTATATATTTGTCTTTTCTTACAATATATTCTTCAAACATCAAAACATAACTAATTTTTTACAATCTTTTATCCATTTGTTTACAAAAATTATTAATTAAGCAACCTATTTTTGACAAATTTTCTATAATATAATCAAGACAACAATCTTTTAAACATAATTCACTTTTCTTATAAACTTCTACTAAATCTACTAAATCAGTTTGTTCCAACTCATAATTAAGTTTTTTCAAAAAATCTATAATAGAATACAAATTTAAATATTAATAAATTTTATTAAAAAAATAATTAATTAAATTTACCTAATATGTTTTGAATAGAAATTGAATTAAAAAGCTTTAATCTCTTTGCTGCACACTCCAATTCAGCGATTAAATTATATACTGATTTTAATCCAATTATAAGAAGAAAGTTTGAATATACTGCATGTTCATCTTGTTCTATTTTCTAAAATAAAAGAATATAAGTATAATATAATTATATAAGTTAGTATTTATTTTTACCTCTTCATAATATTTTTGTCTAATAAAACTATTCTTCTTCTTAGCTTCATGTTCATCAATTTCTACTGACTTATCGCATAATTCTTCTCTTATTTTACCCATTTTAGTTAATAATTTTTCTTGAATTTCAAAATAAAACAAACTATCTTTTATATTATTGATAAAATTATTAAAATCTTCAAATTGATTAATAATCTTGGTACAATAACTATTCCATTTAGGTAAAAATTTTAAATATTTATCAATGTCGCCAGTTAATAAATCAATTTCATTTGAAAAAATGCTTTCTAAGTCAAAATTATTTGCTTTTTCAATAAATAAAAAATTTTCAGTTTTTATATTGAAAAGAATATTAAATGCCAAATCACTTATATGAAAATCTTTGATTTTCAAAACTTTTTCAAGATCTTTAAGTTGTTGATCAACTTCCTGAAAATATTGTTGATGTTCCGATATTTCTGGTAGTTCTTTTACATCATTTATCGCTTGTTTCAAAATTTCAGGTTTTGCTTTCACTTCACGTATTGCTTTTTCTAATATGTTTTTAAGATTTTTTGGTATTTCAAACCCTCCAACTATAATAATTACCTATAATATAGTAAATAAATTGTTATAAAGTTTATTATAAAGATTTCTTAAAAAATTATACTTACGTGCTGTAATTTATATAATATTTGATTTGTTAGTAATAATAAATTTTTGATAATATTTTGTCACCTGCAATGTCTGATATAGCATTAACAATTGATGAAACCCTTAATAAATAATATTTAAAAAATATAACAATTTTGGCAATGATTAGTTATAGATTAATTAACTGTTCACGGATAGCAATTTTTACTAAATCGATATAGTTAGTACAATCTATCTACAAACACTATCTTATACGAGAGTTTACTTAATATGTTTAGTAAAAATTATCTGGTAATGGTTCATAGATGTGCTTAATAACCTTAACATGCGATGTTTGCTAAATAAATTGATAGGTTGCAGTAATAAATCTACATACTATAAAAATTTTTGTATAACCATAAATAAATTTTTCTAAATGTGTTCAGACTTAAATTGAACTATTTATTTCACTTCATAATAAAAAATTAATGATAGTTATATATTATAATAGATTTTGTTGTTTATTATGGGTTTCTTTAACTGTTAATTATCTATCAGAATTGTTCAGAAAATTATTTCACTAAGCACTAGTGATGAATAATTTGAGCTACATTACTGCCAATATCAATACTTACATTCTGTAATATATAACTAATTAGAGTTTGATATTTAATAAACAGAAATGGTTAAACTTTATACTCACTTTCTGAAATATATTTAATTTATTGAAGCATTCATGTTGAAATTCTAATAATAAATATTAATGAGATTTATACTCACATTCTGTATATGAATTAGAAAAATGATCGGAATACATTAATTCATTACAAACTCTGACAATAAATGATATTTATAAAAAACTTATCTACCTCCTAAATTTATGCAATCAAATGGGGTTAATAAGTTATCGTAATATGCAAATTGATTAAATATTGTCGAAATATACGTACTTTCTACG